AGGGGTAGAGAGTGCCTTGTTGGAAGACCTGGAATACATCATTGATGTACAGTAAAAGCAGCAGAGGACCTAGGACGCTGCCTTGGAACACTTCGCTGATTACAGATGCCTTTTTAGACGAGACATCGCCTAGCAGCACTGACTTCGTTCGGTTAGAAAGGTTAGAAGAAAAGCAAGAAAGGAGGTGGCCAGAAACACCGAATGCAGCTAATTTTGGCAACAAACTATTGTGTGGAACCCGGTCAAATGCTTTTTTCATATCAAGGAACATGATGAACAGCGCTCGACCCAGGTCTATGAACTGCGTAACGTCGTTTAAAAATTCAAACTGGCAAGTTTGACAAGATTTAGTAGACAGAAAGCCGTGTTGGGACTTATTAATATGGTTGCATTGTAACAGAAAACGAAGCATCCCGTCCTTTATTATTTTTTCCATGAGTGTATACCCAATGGGTGTGTGACTAATAGGACGATAATTGTCAATATTTTGTCGACAGCCTCGTTCGTGTCGTGGTATGATGGTTGCGTGTTTCCATTTGGACGGGTATTGTCCGCTCTCCATAGAGTTGGTGAAGATATTGAGGAGAAGGATGGGAATATCCGGTTTTCCAAGTAGTAATACGGAAGAAGGTACACCGTCAGGTCCTGGGTAGTGTGACATTTTCAAGGAGCAAAGTGCTCGCTTGATGTAGTTTAAGTCAAAGTCAGTGGTATGTATTTGGGCTTCAGTGAACTTGTGAATCGTAGTTGTCAATGCTGTCATTGTTGGTGAAGGAGTTACAGAAGTGCGTGTTAATGCAGTCTCAGAGCTCGACCGCATCAGTGACTATAGTTTTATCAGGAAGTAGAAGAGTAGTGATCAGTATAACTTTGCTGCCACCCCGCTGCTTCATTAGTCGAATAAGAGACGTTGCCTTGTTGTCAGTACAAAGCGCTGCGTGCTCAGCTAATGTGTGAGCATTGCTTTGTGAACTTCTCCTGGCGATTAGTAACTCGTTCATGCGGATGATAAGATGAAAGTCTTTAGCCTTGCTGTAGCGGGAGCGCGGCGATGCGCAGATACTGAAATCATGCTGTGGTGCTAATGGAATAAAACCAAGGAAGCCTGAGCAGGGATAAACCAGTGAGGAGGCTGAACTACAATTAATTGGGTGTCACCAGACGAATACGTAACGGCTGAGCAAGGAGCGAGTAATGAATAAATGAAGGTCTAGAAAAGAGAGGCTAAGGAGCAGCTTTGCACAGATCACGTGAGTTATGTTTGCTCCACAGAAGAGAGCTAAGAAAGGTTTCATGAAGAAAGGACAGCGAACGGAGGATGCGCAAGCATGCGACATGGTTGTTAAATAGTTCGGAGCAGAAAAGGCAAGACGCGGCGACGCGCAGATAATGAAATCCTGCTGTGGTGCTAATGGATTAGGACTAAAGAAGGGTGAGCCGGAAGAAGTCAGGGAGAGTGCTGAACTACGAATAATTAAGTGTCACCGACAAGTGACAGATGAGCATTTAACGAGGAGCGAGCAATAGATAATTGTACTTCTAGAAAAGAGAGGCTAAGGAACAGCTTTGTGAAGACCACTCGAGTTACGTTTGCTCCACAGAAGAGGGTTAAGGAGTGTTTCATGATGGACGGACAGTGCACCGAAGGAGCGCAAGCATATATTACGACTTTTACGTAATTCAGAGCAGAAGAGGATAAGACACAGCGACGCGCAGATAATTAAACTATGCTGGGGAACTATTGGAATATAAATAAGGAAGCCTGAGCAGGGAGAAGCCAGTGAGAGAGCTGTACTACAGTATAAGTAGGTGTCATAGACGTATCGAGTAGTAAATAAATGAACGTCTAGAAAGGAGCGGCTGTGCGCAGACTACTTGAGTTATGTTTGCTGGACAGAAGAGAGCTAAGAAAGGTTTTATGATGGAAGCACAGCGAACGAGAGAAGCTCCAGCATGCAATAGATTTGTTAAATATTTCAGAGCATAAGAGGCTAAGACGCAGCAACGCGCAGATAATCAAATTATGCTAGGGTGCTAATGGAATATTACAAAGGTAGTCTGAGCTTGGAAAAGCCGGTGAAAGAGCTGGGCTACAATTAACTAGGTGTTACGTACGAGTAAGTGGCAGCTGAGTATCTAGCAAGGAGCGGCTGTGCGCTGACCTGATGAGATAAGAAGGTCTCCAGAAGAGAGCTAAAAAGGTTGAATGAAGATAGGAAAGCAGACGGGAAGTATGCAAGCATACATTAAGTTTACTGTGGGAGTCACATCACCAAAAGAGAGCTAAAAAAGATGGAATGAAGAATGGACAGAAAGACTTCAGAAATACATACTAAGGGGTAGAAATGGGATATACTAATAAGGATGAATCATGGTCAACATCGCATTTGCAGTGAGGATTACAGGACGTTACATCGGCAGAGCCAAGGTCATTTAGATCTCAGATTTTCGAGAGGGGTTAGAAAGTAGGAAACCGTTCAGACCAGTCCGGATAAGTCGACAAAATGAAGCTGGGCCGCCAAACAAGGGCGCGAATAAAAGTAATGAGTGTCATCAGGTAGGAAGCAGTTTGGGACGAATTGGCTATATGAAAATGCACAGAACATGCAGAGCGAAGCTCTTAGGCTGAGGGACAGCAGCTACATGAACTTCTGCGTTCCTCCAAAAGGACTGATATATTCATTCCTGCCTGCGACTTTAACGCACGAGTGGGCCGCCTTCCACCAATCGAGCACCACTTTGGGGGTAGTTTTAGCTTTGATGGCTGTCGATCAGACAATGGAGACAGATTGCTTGCTCTTTGCTCTGCTCATCGCTTGTATCTTTTGAGCACTATTTTTCGACACTAGGGAAGACACACTGCTACCTGGCACCCGCCCTCACAAACGCAATAGTGCTCCCAGCTTCATCACGCAACAATCAGCTACAGATATCGCGGAAGCGTAACGGACTGCCGATCGTACTGGTCAACTTATCTTGACTCCGATCACGCATTGGTTTGTGCTACAATTTGCATGCGTTTCGGAGGATCACCCAAGCGCGCTCCCTACCGACCGGATGTCACAGATCTAAAAAAACCCTGCGATTTTAACCGGGTACCAAGCCTCGCTGTCAACATTGCTTGCCTCAGCTATTGGCAGTGACCTAGATTCGCAGTGATCGCAGCTCAAAGATCTTTTAGTTTCCGCCAGTATCGACACTTGCGGAGTTGCCCGTCATCCACCGAAACATTGGATTTCTTCCGTCTCCTTGTCGCTGATGGACAAACGCCGCTAGATCTCGTCGGATTCCAGACACAGTGAAGAACGTCAATCACTGGGTCGAGAGTTGAGCAGGAGTCTGCAAATGGACCGCGAAGGTTGGCGGTGTGAATGTGCTAGGGAGATGGAACTTGCTCGTCTCTCTGGTCATACCAGGAAACTTTTCCATCTCATTCGAGTCACCGAAGGTGTTCGATCTGGTATAAGTGAAACAATATGCGAAGAGGATGGCACCTTAATCACCAATCTTCAACAACGGTTGGAGCGATGGGCCGAACATTTTGGCTCGCAGTTTTGTTGGCCCCCAACTTCATCTGTTACCTCTGGCGCTCGCACTGGTGCCGAGTGGTCTCCCCCCCCCCCCAGATCCTCCCTCTTACCGGGAAATCGAGCAGAAGCTTTGCGACATGAAGCGTTATGAAGCCCCCGGCCCTGATGGTCTTCCTCCAGCTCTATTTAAAGATGGTGGCGTTTCGCTGGTTCGAGAACTCACTGTTTTGTTCTCGAAAGTTTGGTCGAAGGAGGAAGTCCCATCATCTTGTGACGAATTGATACTCGCCCGCATCTTCAAAAAGGGCTTGCGCACAATCTGCTCCAAGTACAGAGGCATAAACTTAGTTCCCGTCGTTTGCAAATTGCTGGTGTCCAGCATACTTCGAAGGCTATCTCTAACGCGCGAATCATTGCCGCGAGAAGAACAAGCTGGGTTTCGTCCCGGTCGCGGCTGCATCGATCAAATCTTCACACCCCGCCAGATCCTCGAACTCCGCCAGGTGTATTAGAGGCCAACGATTACTGTGTTCCTGGATATCCGTGCAGCCTTTGGTTCTGTCGATCGTACGGTACTATGGTACTGCCTACTGAGAGATGGCTTCCCCTAGAAGTTCGTCTCCGTACTGCGCTCTCTCTCTATGGGCTGACCTTGAGCAGGGTTAGGGCTTGTGGCATGCTTTCGCCTTCCTTTGTGTTCTCCAGTGGAGTTCGACAAAGATGCCCTTTCTCACCCTTTCTATTCAACTTTGCCATTGAGGATGTCTTGAAGAACGCTCTGGGCGATTCGTTGAACGCTGCCGTTGAGCTTCTCCCAGGTAGTCGAGTTGTTGATTTGGACTATGCTGGTGAAATCATCTTGCTGGGTGACGATCCACACATCGTACAACTTGCACTAAACCGCTTGGCGATTGAAGCATCAAAGTATGCTATGTACTTTTCGCCATCCAAATTCAAGGCTCTCTTCCAAGGCTGGTAGGTGCCTCTGCCTGCACTCACTCTTGGTGGTGAGACACTAGAGATTGTGGAGAGCTTTGTCTACTTGGGATGTTGTATCACTGCTGGTGACGAGATTTCGATGCGCATCTCAAGAGCACGTTTTGTTTTTTTAAGCTGAGGCAATTGTGGCGTTGCCACGACATTCCTCCCTCAAAGGGCGGGTCTGTTCTGCAACTGTTCATGCTGTACTGTTGTACGGATGCGAGACGTTGCCCATTCGTAAAAATGATTTGCGCAGGTTATCCGTCTTCCAGCGCCCCTGTCTGCTGTTCATTGCCCGTGTGCGGTGGCAGTACCACGTAAGCAATGTGGAAGTTAGACAGCGTGACTTGGGACGAGGAAACCACTCGCTCGAGGACGTCGTCTCACTGCATCAACTGTGGTGGCTGGGAGACGTATTGCGCATGCCTGTTCCGCGTTACTCGCGTCGTGCGTTGTTTGCAGTTGCTGGACAGGGCTGGAGAAGGCGGTCTGGTGGACTGCCTGAAGCTTGGAGAAGCCGCATGAACAAGCTGACGAAACAGTTGGCCTCGGCCGGTTGTTATTGACTGCCTGTTGGGGGTCCGAGCGATGCGGATACTTGCTGGTTGAAGAACTTGGAAGTCATGGCTCAAGATCGATGTCAGTGGCGGGTGTGTGCATCGATGTGTTGCGGTGTCCCTTCTTCCTCCCTTCAAAAAACATACTGAAAAAATTTCAAAAACTGTGATTGGCAACCTGGACTAAAAAGCTTTCGTTGTTGTTGTTGTTGTTTCTGTTGTTAATTTCCTATTATTCATACTGTTTTCCTATTCAGTAATGATTCCGATGGCACAATATCTGTACCACAGATTGCGTGTAATATATATGAATGATCCCCAACCTTTCGTCTACCACAAATCGACGTAGCCTTCTGTTTGTGTTCTGAAATTGTGCAGATATCTTTTTCTTGGAACCGCCTGCCCCCCAAATGTTACGCGAACTGCGGTTCTCATCCCCGATTCCAGGCATGTATTTCTCGAGAAGGGCTTAGCATCCTTTTATATCATGATTGTGGTTGTGATGCACCTGACCTCGCGTTAGCCTGCCCGTAGCCTAATGGTAACATGCTTGTCTTGTAATCTGGCGGCGCGGGTTCGAACCTGCGTAGGAGCAGGGCGACCCTCACAATATCCTTAGCGCACGTGCGACTGGCGGTGGTTGCACGGCAGTGAAACGTCAATACTGCGAAAGCGTACCGCTGATTTTTTTTACCTCGCGTTAATACTGCTTTCACTTTGGATTGCGCTGCAACACTTTGATTCGAGATTTCCTGTTCTGGCTTTCGTGAACTCCAGCGTTGTCTCCTTACTGTTTTCTGCTTTTTGTGCATGCAACGCACTTTGTAATGTCGATTGTCGTTGCCGTACTCTCACCGTTTTCCTTCGGGTTTACTTTCCTTAAAGCTTTCGGCGCCGAAACCCGATTTGTCCGTTCAAGTAGTGCTGGTAGCTGAAGACGAAGCCATGAAGCGATCTATGCAGGAGTTCCTCTTCGACTTACAGACTTTTGAAGAGATTTACAGTGAAGCTGGAATCCACATCTATCCTGCAAAAGTACTTGGTCAACTGTACAAACAGCTGGGTATGCAACCACTCATCTACTATTCGGGTTTACTGTCTTCACCATCAAAAAGGTACCCTAACAAATTTCTTATTGATGAATCTTCGCAGCAATTTCCAAATCAGATGAATTCCCTACATGCTTGGAAAAGTACTACCTGGTCGTTTCGTTCTATTGGGACTCGTCCGTATTCCGCACTCACCTATTCATGAGTAAATTGCGTATTGTAACGTCCGGCTTTCTTTTATCGTAGCTACACAATCATTTCGTTATTTTTCTACATTGCATCATAGATTTCAGCGAACGTCTTACTCGCGTTCTAAACTTTCCTCCGTATTTTGTTTTGGCCTATTCCTACTTGCTTTTCTTTAGTCGAACATTTTACTTTGACTTCATATCGTGGACAATTATCGAGACCTATAGCTTGTAAGCAACACTATGAAGTCGAAGCTTTCTGAGCTTTTCCATACGACATTTTTTTCTCCTTCCTCCGCGTTTTCGATCCCATCTTAAGCAAATGCACTTGTCTTGTCGCCCAGACTTACCGGACATGATCAGCATATCCTCCCCGACAGCAACAACCCTATTATTTGCTGACCTCTCCATTTCTTTGAGCCATTTTCGGCCGTGCCCTCTGGTGACATGCAATCATCTATGGTTAACTTGCTCGATGGTTGGAAGTCCGATAAAATAACTCTTATGGCCGCGTGGTTTGGACACGGGCTGTGGCTGTGCGCGTTTTTGTGAAAGCATCCTAGCTAGTGTACAGTTGCCGTATATCCACTGTCCTACGCATGCTTTTTTCGACGCGGATGCTAACCGTTCCCATACCTGGACTTGAGCAAACCCGCAGACATCCACAACCTTACCAAGTTATTCCTCACTTTATCTGCATCTGCCACCCAGAATCCTCGTAATTATCCACATTGTCCATTGTTCAAACCCAGGTGAAAAACGAGACTAGTCCTGTTACTCGGGAGCTAACAGCGGGAGGGGGGATAGACAAACCTACAACTATAGAGTACCTACTGATCTGTCACATTTTTGCCAGGTTCCCTTTGCTAGCGTTATTCAGTACAAGTGGATGCACTGGCAATTATAAACGTGTTTAAGGCCTGGTGCGGAAAATGGTGGACTGCAAAAATGAACAACGAATTAACGCCAATTAGCTTGTTTTACTGAAGGGATCTGCGACGGAAATAGTAATAATAATACTAATGATGTATGTTCTCGGGTTTACGAGGCATGCACTTTCTCGGCATAATCAACTTTTTGCAGTTGTTTCTTATACTATTTACAAGCAGAAAGAAATCTCATGTTTTTAACATTCATGGTTATCCAATTCCAAGCCTTTAATGGTGTCCTGACGAAGACTTCTGTGTACGGCCGGAACCAAGTTTTCCATTCCCTGGGTACACGATGATTATTAAAGCCGAAATCATACTTATTGAACATGGCATCTGATTTAGGCCAAACATTTTCTATATATTATGAAGGTTTAAAGCAGAGTAGAGACGGACGTAGTTATTAGTTTTCGGTTCAGCAGCTGTACTGATCATTTATTGTCCGGGGCTGCCAGTTAGCATGATCTGTTTCCTGCTCACATTGTTTTATTGTACAAATGACTTTCTGAAGGGTCAAAGCGAGATAGATGATCGCCAACGACGTCTACGCACAGCTGTTACAGATAAAATCATCAAAAAAGTGCGACGTGACTCGAAAACCTTGATTGCTGGGTATTCGCGCGATAACTGCAAAAGTCGGTTTAGGAACGGAAGGTGTTCGGTGGGCTTTAAAGACAAATTTCACATGACGAGGGTTTGTTCGACATTTTGACTAAAATGTTGTCCGTTGGACAAAATGTACGCAACGGATTGTACGTGCATCATCTTTATTGAATTCGATCATTCATCATCATTCATTCAACACATCAGCTAGAGGTGCGAAACGCCCCCGCCATTGTGTCTCATCCTCAACAATGTACGTTAGCTGAAGGTGAGAAATACACCTCAACTAATGTGCCACAATACAAAGATAGTGAAAATTACGCAACAAAAACATTCAAAAAGCAAATAATATAGCGGAAGATATCATATTATACTCCATTGCGCATCAGCGCGATAAAAGTGGCATATACAGACGAAAATTTTTAATTGCGCCTTGTCTACTAATATGCATTGATGAAACGCTTGCGGTAGGACTGGGAGGCTACGTGTTAGGAGAGCAAATCACGACTCACGCCACGTTGAGCGGTTCTCCGCTACCTCAACAAGCATATCCAGCCAACTGCGTTCATCGTCTTTCAGACCCCGAGCAGTAAGTCCGGAGAGCCATCTCAGACCAACTTCGAAGTGAGGGCCTTTATTCTTCTGGACCACGTCATCACTTGGCTTCCTCTTCTCTTCTTCTATTCACATCGCCGCCGTCCAGACAACACACATCGCGGGTATATGTGTACTAGCCTGCGCAACACTTGGCTCAGTCATCTGAGCCTGCTGCGTGAAATAATGGTACTGAGTGGTTCACTCGCTCTACTTGCATCATAAACACGCGGTCAGTATGCTCATTACACTGCGTTTTCATTGGAATTGAGCTAAGCTTCGAGGACACCAGTGATCGAACGCAACTGGCTTGTGTGTACCAGTCGCTTTGTTGGGCCGTTTCACAACCGTACAGGAGGTTTGAGTGGACGGTTACATCATAGACTTTGCTCTTCTGTGTGAAAGTGATGTTGCACCTACACCACAGTTTGCGAAGTTGAACAGAAGCAATACAATTCGAGACTTGGTTTTCTATTCCAGAGGCGCTGATACAGCTGTCCATGCGATTGAATTCCCGATCGACTTCTAGTTGATCCTTCTGTTACAACTCAGCCCATACTGAACCACAACTCTCAGAAGAACTCAGTATTCGGCCCGTAGCGCACGATAGCAGAACGCGTTGGTTTCAGCAGTGCACAAAATGTATTATATCTCGCCAGAAACACAATGCTTCGCATAAGTTAAGGCAGCCCAATCAGTGGTTAGCTTGGGCTTAACGGACGCACACACTGACGCTGGTGGATCCAGCCAATAGGAAGCGAGTGAACACAGTTTAATCGATGACTAACTTCGTGTTGGACTGACACACTACCCTGGCGAGATGGAGCAGATAAGTGAATTTATTAACTGTAATTGCAGTAGGTGGTCCTTGCCTATCTTGTAGGTATGCTTTGCAATTCGAAGATGGAAAGCAACGCCAAAAATTATTGTCAGCCAGCGCTGCTCGGCACGTTTGTGAGCTGTAGCAGATAAAGGCAATGAGTCGATGTGCTCAAGTTATAAAGCCAGTCAACTGAATGGAACTCCAACCTGTGTCCAGTGAAAGTAGTTTCTATGCCTTCGTCGATAGCCCAGGTAAGAACGAAAGTTGACAATCGACATTCTTGTTTTTCACCGATGGGGATATCGAAGGGCAGAGACAATTAGCCATTAAGTCTGCACGCTGTCCGAACTGCATCTGATAATTTTTGCCTACTTCTTGCGAACAACTTACTTAAGCAGACATTGTTAAGAGTCACATCGAGCCACGGAATCAAGGGATTTTTGTTGCCTATGGAGGTGACTACGGTAGGTCGCCAAGTTACTTTGCGGTACCTCTACAACTCACGCGAAGTGAATATGGTGTGATGCGTCTTGTTAATCTTGCATGTGATTTTTGCGGGTCTCCGTCTGTAAAGCGCGATATAGGCAAGTAACATAGACACCTAAGATCAGACCTATACACTCATGGGTGCCACATTTCGAACTCAAGCTCCCTTTGAATACCGCAACTAAAGAGCTAGTAGACATACATCTGTGCTGCTCCATCGTAGTTATACTGGACACATGTGTGCGGAGTCACCTCACTGGTTCCTGCGCGTTTGCTTCATATTACAGGTGCGCTATATACTATTCGCTTGCGATGCGCTCCCTAAATCTGAACTCCGCAAAGTGGGCTTCTAGGAATTTTTTGGATTGCAACACCGACTTCGCCTGGACTATTTTCTGAGGCGAACGGTTTCTGTATTTCGCCACTCGACGTTTGAAGCTTAGAGGGTGTGCTATCCGCTTTATATCCGGTACAACTAGCTTGTACCGGTGCCCATAGATGCTGCTTGGTGCGCGCGCTTGAAGCAGCGGCCTCAATATGAGAAATTGATCGAGATGCAATATCCGGCACATCATAATGATGTCAACTCTAAACCGACTGTAACAATGCTGCTTCACTTGGTTTTTAAGAGACTGGGACCTAAGGTGTTGCGATGGTTTGCGTGCCTCATCGATCCATTGAACTATGCTGGGTGGTGCTTTTTACACCTTCAGAGCCACTCATACCAGATTGGTCAATGGTTAGAGGCCAGGCAAACTCCGTCTTCTGGCCCTCCAAGTTGAAGATTAGAATGTTGGTGGCTCCTTATTTTATTCTTTTAGCCTATGTATTCCCTAATGTTTAATGTATTTTTGTGTTGCGACACATTGTATTTTGCTGATGATGATGAGCGGGTTGGGGCTTATTCGTGCTCTCACATTTTCATTTATCTATCTTCTAACTCATCCGCAGTTACATGAACCTAAAATCTGGAGACTGCTCTGCAGCTAATTTATATAGCGTTCTTTACTGCTGATGGATAGGTTTTTGATGGATAGATGGCTTTTGACACGCCGGTCGTTTTCGGACCATGTAAGACATGGGCCATCAATAGAGAGACATGCGAACACAATTCTGGTGTAGACATTAGGAGCAAAAGCTAGCAAGGCGAACACCCTTGTTTTCGGTGCTTCTCATCAGGCTGGTACTCCCCAACACATAGGAATACAACTAACACTACGCATTCAAATGCGGTGAAGCCATGAAGCGAATTGTCCGGTCAATGAGGTTAAGTGATGACACTGGCTAGAGCAAGATCGATGGAGGTGTTAAGGGCATTGTTGTTTCATGGGGGCAGGGTAATTGGAGAGCCAGAACAAACTTCTTTTGGGCGTATAAGTTGGGGTTATGGAGCCGAATAGTGATCGCCTGCGATGTCCCTAATGGGCGATGACGGAGTGCTCGCGTGTGTGTTCAAATATCCGGCGGATTGAATGGAAGACCTCTCGCACGTTGGTTTGGTGATTTGAGTTAGCCAAGTGCCACAGCATTGCGTTCGCTAGTCACGCCGGACAATGTTCCCGGAATCTCTCGCACAGCCGTCTGGTCATCTTCCCAATATAACTTGCTCGACACAAGCAAGTAAATTGGTACACGCAGATGGAACTATTTGACCTCGGTATGCTGTCCTTGTGTTGTTGACTCACGACTGGCGTAGAAGTGAAGCTGACACAGTTCATCTGAACAATTGTGATCCGGGCACCGAAGTGCGGCGGATGCACTGGCCACCACTCACTTCGCCAATAAAGCTAATAAAGCTAATAACGGCAAAATATAAAGTTGAATGTAAACGGAATGTCAGGAAAGTGCAATCAAAAAGAAATTGAGTTAAACTAATGAAAGCTAACAGCTAGATGCAAGGAACCGCATGCCGAAACGTCACTGACTGCTTGATGGTGTCTCCAACCACTGGTGTGGACCATCACAGGACCCCCAACCACGAAGACGGCATCCACTAGCCTGACCACATCATCGACTGGCCAACTCGAGGTTTCGCAACTCGCCTTATACTGCATGCCGAGGAAGCCGGTCAGCAGGCCTACGGAGGACATGGTTTAGACAATGTAAGCAGTTGAGATTCAGCGAAACTCTTAAGTTGGTGTCAAACGCATTCACCAGTATTCTAACAACGAATCTCATTCATCACTAACCATTGGTGCATCGCTTCCATGAAGCGCACACTAAAGCGTGGTTGGAATCCTTATTATTTCTATTCAACATTTCCAGCATATGTTTACCTAAAACGTTGCTACCCGTCAGCTTTTCTTAGGTTCTAAGATAGCTTATGTTCTCGCATTCTTTTCTTTTTTCTCTTAGGAGTCTGTGAGAAGCTTTTTTTGAGTGGCCGACTGGACAAAGATGTTGGCATCCTTTCAACTAGCCAATTTTACCGTTTGACAAACCAGACAGTAGCTTTTATACCACAGGTGAGCGAGTAGTGAACGACGCCGTTAAAATCCCCACGACACAATGATTTTCACTACCTTATTACCTTTGGTCTACCATTCCTCTCTCTGTAGTTCTTCGATTATCACGCATTTTATATGAACTTGGATGTCAATTTTCTCATCGATTGTTTTCGTACCTGTGTGGCTTTTCTGAAACGGGCCTGGACTAGCCCCGGACGCCCACTTCTCATCTTTCCCATTTACCATCGGTTTTTTGGTTCAGGTAAGTGCTGCATCGTTTGTTAGCATGCGTTTCCGCCTTGTTCACTACTCTTCACACTTCAGCTTCACCCTTTGATCCACTGTTGTTATAATTTTAAGGAACATTCGGTTATTGAAAACCCTGTCACCGATTCCGTTTGTCATCGGTACCCCCACAGAATCCATCATGCCTCTAGGAGTGTGCGTCGCATAGTGATGAATAAAGGTTTATCTGTTTACGATCTATCATTATTTTTACACGCTTTCCTATCTACATGTTGTGATAGCATATTTTCTAAATCGTGTGTTATCTTGGGGAGCAACTGGTGTGACTCATTTGGCCACCGAATAGCACTTTTCGGGAAACGATTGTCACGCAATATGCTTCCTATGTCTGTTCAATCTTTTCTTACACAGATGTAATGTGTGGAGCCATCGGCATATACTGTTATGACGAAAGTCCCATGAGGACAGCATTGTTACCTCCTGTACGAACCCTGCTCGGTTCTCTGGATCTGGTTCAGCTAGCCAGTCCGCAGTGTAACTACGCTTTGGATTACATTCTCTTTCACCATCGCCTTCGTCGTCATTGCTTACTGTAGTAGCGAGATTACGTCACATTTAGGAGATTCTGCTTCACTTGAATCAACCGTGTTTCAATATTTTCGTCCTTGGGTGGCAATGATTTCCCTATGATTGACTGCTGACCTAATTTAGCACATTGGTTACAGACGTTTCACCACCCATTGTGGAGGCACTGTCACCGTGTGGTTGCACGCCCCATTCGTTCCGAATGCTCTCGTGTACCCTGTTGAACGTGGTTGACGTTGATTATGAAGCACTTTAACTCACATAACCGCTTGATTGCAGTTGACCGTCCTTGTTGCTGTGTGCAACGCAGTACTTCATATCTATCGTTGCACCTGCTACTTCACAGTTCATGACGCGTTCTCTCTACCATGTCGAACATCCACATGCCTCACGCTTTAGTACGCTCATCCTATTTACATGGGACATCCGGTGCGCCAGTGTACTAGCGATCTTTTTCTCAATTGCGTTCTTTATGAATAGTTAAATATCAGGTTTTCCATTTTCTTTGTTCTAATTCACGTGTGATGGTTCATTTTAACCTGCTTGTCAGATATTTAGTTTCTGGAGCCTAGGTGCCTTCTGGCCTACTTTTGCCCACGTAATATCGCAGACGTAATCGCCCCGCAATATGTGTCCCTCTTCTTTGGTCGCCGTATTTCGTTTCCGGTGCTTCTTTATTTCCACACCTTATTCATGTCAGACGGTCTTCGAAAGCCACTTGAGTTTTTTGTTATTTAAAAGTAATGCTGTCGGACTAGTTCACTTATCATGCCATAATTACCCTTACTTATGATGATCTGACCTGATATTTTGTCTTTCTTACGAATTGCTATGTTCTCTGGAGTAATAGGAGGATCAGAATGGACTAAATCTAAAGCCAATACCAGCTTTGATTTAGAAGTACTACTGAACCACAAAAGCACGCGTGAATCATATTCCACAAAATCGTCACTACACTCAGTGCGTATGCACAGTGAAACGAGAACAACAAAATATCATTTGTGAACACTTTACATCCGCTGCTGTGCAAATGCGATTTCGGACTGGTATGCTGGCGGCGCCCTTTGTTCTTAAACTCTTCAGGTTTCCGTGATTAATGTAATGGTTCAGGAGCTAATTCGTCCGTTGAATGCCTCTTTAGGATGAATTTAGGCGTTGTCAGAATGACAACACTCAAACTCTTCATAATGCCTGCTATGGCTGTCCCGTACCATAATCCGATAGTGCGGGTCTGTGCCTCCGTAGGAGACAAGGCGACCCTCGCAGTATCTGTAGCCCACGCGCGACTGTTGGTGCTTGCGTGTTAGCGAAGCGCCAGTACGCAGTACCGGCTACTGCTGATACCTTTTATAATGCCTGTTATGCACAGCACTATCCGATAAGTCTATATTCGACACATACTAGAAATAAGATGGTAGAGGATTATTCCACGGTGACAAACAACTTCCAATGATTCCAGGCACATCATATTTGTTCGGAGTACACATTTCTTCGACAGATTTGCAGGACTCTCCAGTGGCCGAGTAAACAGCGTTCCTGTACTGCATTAGAAAGTTGTCGAATTATCTGCCGGGCTAAGTAGACGTTGTTGGCTTGAGCGAAGCAATTACACCTTTGGGAACGCACACAAAATTCATTGCAGCACCACTAGATTGCAGGTGTTTGAGAGCAGTGTAAAGGAGGCGAAAAACCACCACTTCATGTCACTAGCAGATTAACCTAGACAAAGGCTTCATTTTCTCACATCAAGATAAACAGAGTGTAAATATTCTAAGGCATTAGATCGGTGTAGAAGACACAACTGTAGCGACTATACGAAGTCTGGACCTAAGTACTCGCACGAAATGGGCTAAGAACCCTGTAGGCCAGTGAACCTATACTGTACACATGCTCTGGGCAGAAAAAATAAAACGTAACTTCCTGTTACTGCTCTCTTATTCAAATTGAAGACAGTAAACAACTTACGGACAGGTTTGCGGAAACTGGACGACGCGGCGGCTTTCGGAAACGGTACAGCGTAGCAGTTTGCTACTCGGCAGTCAGTCCAGTGTGAAATAGTTGACCTTGAAGAGCCAAGGATATGCCAATGATGCGAAATAAAAACGTAGTGTTTCATAATGCAAACGTTCAAAGTACACATGTTCAAATTGACTTGATGCACTGGTAGCTCGGGTCGATCATTCTTGATTTCACTTTTTCGCCGAGCTTCAGAGTTGGGATGCAAACGTTTCATCACCAAGCGAAGTGACTTCGTCAGTGCGCTACTGGGTCCAATCAAATCCGCTGACTTGTTCGTCGATTTGTGATTGATCAGCAAGTGAATTTTGAACTGGTCTCGATCTGTGCCCCGTGACCTTCACCGGTCCGCCCAACTCTGATAGATACAGGCGACCCGTGGGATGGTTTTTCCTCGGCAGTTGTTGATGGCTCGTTCAGCCGACCACGACGATTTCTTCTTTCTTTTTTAAGGTGTTTTAGTTCCCTCCGTCTTAACGTCTCTTATGCATAAGAACCATTATGCTCTCTCACTGATTTCAATACATACAGACGAAGGAGGACATCACTTCGATTAGAACAACACAGAAGTCCTAGCAAAAGGAGAGACACAGAAAGGAAGAGAGTTCCTCGAAGCATGGTACTCAACGCAGCATTCAATAAACATGCACCTAGAGATTGATCCAGTGTACCAAACGTTATACAGCAATTCGCATGTCCATCGAATCAGTCGTTCCCGAAGACCCACGATGGCTATCGCAAGAAGAATTAAACTTCCAATCAATATTTCGTGACAACATGTACTTCGTTATCTTTTTCTGGCCCAAATGATCATAGACAGAAGCCACAAATGAGAGTGTCGACGAATCACAGCAATGTCGATCTTCAGCATATTCCAGTGTCAGTGAGAAACTCAAGACAAAATGAGTGCTGACTTAAGAATTCTTTTCGATTAAACTCCCATGGGACCCAAACGTTTACTTGGCAGATATTAGCTGCCGTTAGGTCAGGTCTTCAGGGACGAAACTGGCCTTCGCCTAACGAGCGTTTCGTTTCGTGTGCCGGTAAGCAAACCAAGACTCACGGCATTTCGACGTTCAAGCTTTACTTCTTCAGAGACAAAAGAAGAGTAAGAGGAACGTCTCATAACTTCATGAAACTATTCGTGATATCTTATTAGTACTAATTGGAATCCACCAATCTCAGTGTAATTCCGGAAACAGAACGTACCAATTCATATCTAGGCCTCTTTTAAAGTCTTCTATAATATTACATTCCTCTAGTGCAGACGAGAGTGAATTCCAACAACCTACTACGCGGTCCGGGAAAAATTTCACCCGGATATCCATTCTGGACCTATGCGTCATGAGCTCCAGATGATGTCCCCGCAGGTTGTCCAACGTAGCTAGTTCAAACAGATCGGTAGGCTTAATTCCACTGAGATTCTACATAATCCTAAATGTTTCTATAAGTTCTCCCCTTAGTCTACGTCGCTGCAATGAGAACAAGCCTAAACAACCCAGGCGGTCAACCTACAACTTTTCACGCTGCTCTTCAATCATTCTGGTGGCCAGTCTTTGTACCTTCTATAAGCAAGCGACATCTTTTCAAAAGTAAGGTGCCCAAGCCTGAACACAATACTCTAAGTGCGGCCGAACCACCGCTTTATACAATGGGAGAAAGATCTCAGGTCTAGTATACACAATGCACTCCTGAGACGAAAAAGTTCCTTCCGCGCTCTGTTAGCAGCATATTGGCACTGCGCCGAAGGCCTGAAACTACCTACCATAACGATGCCCAAGTCCCTCGCCTTATCTACACACTGCAATGTCAGGGACCCTGTGGATGTTTGCACTGTAACTCCAACGTTTCCGGATGCCAACAGCTGACATTTATACGCTTTCAATGACAACTCCCATGATTCAGACCACTTTGCCAGTGTTCGGGTCTTCGGACAACGTATCCCTATCTCCCCTACTGATAAGCTTTACGCCGTCCTCAAAAACATAAGTGGTTCTCGAGCAGTGGAGCTAGATCCTTTATAAACATAAGAAACAGCAACGGTCATAGCACTGAACCTTGGGGGACTCCGCTATGTGCAGCGCCCATGCTGAATCTGGCTTTACCAATTCTGACATTCAACTTCCTGCCACAGAGGAAATCCGATAACCAAGTCATCAGTTGTGGATGCAACCCAAATCAATTTAACTTCTCTAGTAAAACGTGATAGTTAACCAGGTCAAATGCTGTACTGAAGTCTAGGTAACAGGCTTCCACTGGAATCCCGATATCGAGGCATCAGGTTATTTCGTCCAATGAACACAACAGATTCGTAAGACACGACTTCTTTCTAACGAAGGCATTCTGTTCCGCTCCAGTCAAGTTGTTGACAACTAAGTGCTCACGAATTCGGTGCCTACTGAGCTTCTCCAAGCA